ATGCAGTACTCCAACTGTTGCAGTCCCAGATTTGAATTGCTTCTCTGAGTCCTTTTCCCTCTGGACTGTGCTGCTGCAGGGTTTTGATTACTATCCCTCATGGAACCTAGTTTAAAGCCTTCCTTACTAGGTTGGCCAGATGATGCCCAAAGATGCTCTTCCTTGTTCTCATCAGATGAATCCCATCTCTTGATAGCACTCCTACGTCCAAGAACATCCACCCATTTTTGAAGAAGCTAAACCCTTCACAAAGACACCACCATCTCATGGCATTAACTTCCAGGATACAAAGGTCTCTGCCTTGACTCCTGCCTTCCATGGAAAAATTGATGAGAACACCACTTGTGCTTCAAGCTCCTTAATTCCCCTTTTAAGAGCCTCATAGTCACCTCTGATTTTCTTAGTGTCATTCCTGGCAGTATCGCTGGTGTCAGCATGGATGAGCAGGAAGGGGTATTTGTCCAAAGGATGGATGAGCTTTGGCAGACTGTCTTTGGCATCTTCAATTCAGCCTCCATGCAGACAGCACATCTTCTGGGCCCCCAGACCTGGATGACAAATTGAGGCCTCTGTCCCCAGCCACCACCCCTCTTCTTTTCCTTCTTGTTGCGGTCATCCTGGAGTTCCTGACCATGGGGCCTTGCATTTCCTGTTCTCTAGGCTGCTGCCTCCTCTGCCTCATGTCTGCAAATGCCCTCTTCCTCAGCCCCTTTCTCAGCATAGATCTTAAAAGTGGTTGCTGACTTCAGTCTGCTCCTCTTCAATTCTAAGGACCCTCCTTGGGGTAGTAACATTCTGCCACTTCTCCTCATTGCCCTTTGGCTTCTCCAGTATCAGCCTCTTGTAACTCTTGTCAAAGTAATCTTCCTGGTCCTGAACGTAATGCAGCCTGGATACCTGTGATTCCAATCTTTGCGTCTCCTTCTCCAGGCCAGACACCAGATTATACGTGGTGCAGATGATGTGCTCCTGACCCTCTGGGAAGAACAAAAACATGGCACATCCTACAAAGGTCATAACAACCACCCCAGACTCCATTTGTGCCTCCTTTGCTCTCTAGAGAATGACTATACTGTAAGGAGTTAAAAAAAAAGGGTAGTGGTAGGGATGGGGAAGAACCTGTATGCTAAGCTCCCTCACCAGGGCCCTGGCCCATGCTCCCACCCCCACATACACATGTCTACGCATAGAATCTCCTGTCCCCTGGCTTTCTCCCACAGCAAAGTCCTTAAGCAAACTTGCTTTCTGTTTTCTGCCCTCAGAGAAAAAGGGAGAGAGAGAGGAAGGCAGGAAGGCAGGCAGGAAGGAAGAGTAATCACACACCACATATGGGGAGGGAAACCCCAAACACACACATGGGGCACTAGGCAAACACTGTAGCACCAATCAGCCATCCCAAGTCACTAATACAAAGAAAAGCCTCCTCAAGGCAGTCCCACACCTGAGCTGCTTATATCACAGCCACTGCTCTCTGTTTATGTTATTGAAACATGAGACCTTCTTTACTTCCTCTTTATTTCTTTTTAAACTCTTTTAAAAATTTATTTTATTTGATCCTTCAGTGGCTGACTTGCTTCATTGCACCACCCTTCCCCTACTCCCATTTCCTTTATACCTCCCATTTCGTTACCCACCCTCATTCCATTAACTCTCAACCTCCTAGCTTCATATTTCTGCTTCAGCCCTGCAACCCATTCCTCTTTCAGCAAGGATAGAAGTCTGTCCTGACTCACCAGCCTTGTAGTGAAAACTCACAGCTGTAGCTCCTGGTCAGACCTCTGCTCGCCAGCTCTCTAGTGGCAAGTCACAGCTGTGCAGGTGGGAGACAGTCAGAGAAGGTTTTTAACATAAAAGTGTGACTCCTCTAAACTTGGACTAGCACTAACAGAGATCAACATCTGAGCAGCTCAAAGTGCAATGTGTAACAAGGCCCTTAAGCTGTTTTGTCTGAATGCTGTTTGAATTCATATGGAATCTGATGTCTTAAAAGTGCTAATCTGGTCCCATGAGGCTTCAGAGCAACAAGGAAAATAACAGCTACTTTACTGAAAATTGTGGTGTCTTGAAACTAGGCCTACAGCACCTGTGATTTAAAGCATACAATCTTTATTAAATTCCTTCAGTTACAACATTTGCTTTAACAAATAAAACAACCTGGGGCCTAGCTCACTCCTTTACTTTTACAACCTAGTACCCATGATTTGGTGTGCTACACCTTTTGTGTAGTTTCACTGTATATAATATGAAACATGGGAAGAAACTCAGAGATTGGGATTCCGTGAAGATGATGACCAGGAAGCCATTTGTATTTGTAGCTTTATCTGTCCAGAAATCCTGAAGGAGATTCACGTCTACATTGCCTCATTTCCCTGGCATCCACACTGGCTCCTGGGCCCAATGCTGATATGCTTTCCAGCTGGTGGATGACATTAAACTAGCATTAAAGAAGTGCAGACTGTGGTTGACATTAAACCAGCATTAAACAAGTGGTTGACATTAAACCAGCATTAAAGAGGTTCTGCAGAACAGTATAGCTCCAGACTCTATTATCTAAAATTAACGCATTTTCCTTCAGTTCCTGTGGGGGAGGTACACCCCTAGTATGTTTCCAGTAGTAAAGCTAGAGCTGTTCCCTCTTTGGTAAAGTAAGGACAAGATCTCTGCATATGGAATTAGAGTGAAAGAATGTGCTGAGCATGTAGAGACTGAAATCATAATACAAACTTACACAGAGAAAACGTATGGGCTGATTCTGCCACCCCACTCATGTTAAGTAATTACTCTGATAGTATGGGAGGCAGAATAAGACTCTTATTCTTTAAAATCAGAGCTTCATACCTTTTGGTGACACCATAACATTCTTCTATAATAACCTGTAGAACAGCTCGATAAAACAAAGATTCTGTAGGCAGCTGCAGAAAATCAAAGAACAGCAGGGATTTAAAGTTGGGATCAAAACCAAATCCAGAATAACTAATAGTGTTGGCTCCCTTACTTAATTATTGGTTTATATTTTTCTCAAAGCAGTCTAAATAACGTGGCTGAGAGGACAATTTTCTAATTGTGTTGTTCCCAAGTTAAAAGGGTGTTGTTTGGTCAGATTACAGCATAATCATAATTGTGAGAAAAAATAAACACGTGAAATTGCCAAGTTATATAGGAAGTGGGTAAAGGGATACAGAGCCAAGACAAAGAAATAAAGATGGGCCAAATTCTGTTCTTAATTATAACAATGTAAATCCATACAACTCTATTACAGAAAAGGGGGTCACTCTAGAATCACATCACCATACGTTAAAGGAAGTCTGTTCACCACTTTTCATACATGTATATGATCAAGAATGAAAGAAAGAGACATAGGGAAAATATTCTAAGGGTGTTAAAATGTTCTCTTATTTATAGTCACTCTGTCTCAGTTCTCTGATACATTCATACCCATACATAAAGCACCATGATTGTCAAAACAGTGCGGTGCTCTTAAAACGTCATACCTTTAGTTATGAAAGATGTGTTTACACAAGAAAAGTTAATGCCTGTTAGTTAAAAATGCATCCCAGGTAAATCTACTAAGGCCAGGGGGTTTACATCAGGGATAAGGTGTTCTGTAAGTCTCATCTATTAAAAACGTGTACACCTCATGTATACAGCCCGCCAAATGATGATTTAAAATATTCATGGATAATTTATGCAGGGACTTAAAATAAGAATTATGATATGACTGTCCGATGCAAGCCTTTGCAATAAATCATATGGCATTTTTTATCACAATACTTTCTTTCTTATCTCTGTATCAGTTGATGCAACACCAGTACCAAGTGAAAAAGTTACTAATCACTGCACTGACCCAGAGCAAAAAGATCAGTTTTTGGGATCTGTATTTATGATATTAGATGATTTTTCTATTTACTCCTCTTTCTTTGTGAAAAGCAATTTTAAGAAAAACTCTGGAGAATGCATTTTTTCAGTTAGTCATTGTGGCTTCCAAACAATATTTTAAATTATTTCCTTGTGGGCAAGATTGTTCTTCAAAAAGGTACCACTATAAGTGGCACTGTTGTTGTAAATATCAGCAGAAATTACCAAAATTTAATAGGGGGTGAGGACAGAAAGCAAACTGACTTGTTTGTCCTAGTGTTGCAGAGCACTCAGGTGCCCTGCGCTTGAGAGCAGAAAACAGCTCAGGAAAGACCCCTAGTAGCAAGGAGAGGGAGGCCCAGCTGCCAGTTACCAGGGCAGCTGGAGTAACAGGTGCTGGTTGCCAGGACAACTGCGGGGGAGCCAGCTGACAGGAAGGGGCAGGGCCTGGCCCATATAAGCCTAGGCAGAAGGCCAGGAGGGCAGCTCCCCTCTGGTGGCCAAGGGAGGAGGAGCTTGGCCAGTGCAGACAGAGGGGAGAACCCTGACTGTGTGAGCAGCCCCTGGTCGCTGCTGGGGGTTGGAGTGTTTTCCTGGTAGGGATTGAATGTTGTTTGGCTGGACGGTCTAGCTTTTTATGTTATAGCCCAGGGGCTTTGTGTTTTTGTGTTCGCTGTTTCGACCAGAGGGCTGGGTGAGGCTGTTATGGGTTGGAGGAGGCCTCAAAGGGGCTTCACAGTAGTGTGGGGACCCTGGTGCCAGAGATGGCACAGCATTTGGGGTGCATTGACCCCAGCCCCAGAGCAAGGGGGGCAGTAAGGAGCCTGGAAAGACAGCCACGAGGAGTGAGAAGCCCCAGAGCAAGGGGGGGCGGGGCTGCGAGAAGCCCCAAGGAAGTAAAGGAGAGGGCCAAGTCACAACAGGGCCCAAGTCAAAACCACATCAGTACCATCTGCGAGGCTTGGGCTGCGGTGTAGGGGAGGAAAAGGAGCCGCAGATAGCGCCCCCTGGCACCAGGGGGCATAAAGTGGGCAGCCTCCTGCTAATTACATCAATCGATTAATCAATTAAGATCAAGGCATGGCAGACGAGTAAGCAGGTGGTTGGCCCGTAACAGGAGGGCGGAGTCACCGATAGAAAGGCTCCAGTAGCGATACTCCTGTCAAAATGGTGCATTGGCCGGGAAGATTTTATATGGCAGGAGCCACTGGGGCCTGCCAGTAACCTTTGGTCATTAACATAGGTCCCAATTGTACGGAGGAAAGTGGGCTGGGGGACGTAGAACTGGTCGCGCGACTGTCGGAATAACAGAGAAGACAGGCTACCAAGTTGGTCAAGGAGTATGAAGATGTATTCCAGGTAACCCCTGGAGAAGCCCGGGGCGTGGTGCACTGGATAAAATCTCCTCCAGGCCAGGTAGTACGTGAGAATTGGAGACGGATTCCCCAGCAACTCCAAGACCCGATAAGAGTGGAGATTACAATGGTGCTAGAGAAGGGTATTATTTAGAATCTCACAGCGACTGGCAGAGCCCCATCGTGGTGGTACCTAAGCCTCATGGGAAAATCCGCCTCTGTATCGACTACCAGAAGGTGAATGCAGTGGCTAAGTTTGACTCCTATCCAATGCCCAAGTGGACAACTGGTGGAGAGCATCGGGCAAGCTAACTACATCTCCACATTGATTTGGGGGCTTAAAATAGTCCACAGCTGTTGCTCTCATGGTGTGTGACTACACCACTGCAATCCTTCTGGAGGATCTGCCCTTGCTTTGGGGTCAGTTAAGACCCCAAAGTTGAGCTTTTATTAGAAGACAGAGTAAAAAGAACCCAACAGTTGGAAGGGTCATTTCACATACTAAGTTCTTAACAATGCACTTCTGGATTTTTGTATAGAATTTTAAGAAGCATGATGAAACATAATTTTTTACAGTTTATTATTACACTGGGTCATTCAAATATGCATTCACTGACTCTTAATTGTGTGAAAAAATAGATTCTTTAACATCACTAGGTGCAGATGAGGCAATAAAGATGCAATTTCATGGTGCTGACACATAATATCAATCTGGCTTTGATTTATACTCAACTAATTGTAATGTTTTAGAATTCAGCGAGTTGCAGGTCCAGTAGAAGGTCATGCATTAAAAGTATTAAAAAAGAAAAAAATAGCTTTGTCATTAGAAGGTTTAAAATAAACAGCATTACTTACCATTTGGCCAACTGCAACTCGTTCCAAAGCCTTTAAAAGCGAAGATATGTTTATTCTTTATCAGAACATTTTATAAATACATTGTATAAAGACTGAGAGATATGACATTTTAAAAGATTAATTATGTGACTTAGCATGAGCTTGTTAATACCATTAAGGGCAGTTAATCAGTTCACTTCTGTTATTTGGGTTCATTCCTAGGACAAGCAATGATAATAGAATATTTGTGTCTGTGCATAGACTTATATTTCTATATAAAATATATCTTTGAATTTTTATGAGTTGAAAAAATACTTTATTTATTCCTAGGCAAATACATGTATAAAAAGTCCAGTTTTGATATTATACTGTGTATTTAAAATAAGTGAATTTAATGTCCAACACATTAAATGGTTTTCATCTCTAGAGTGTATAAATATTTACCTTAAAGTGCATAAAACTAAATGGAATACAAAATTTAGAGAGACTAAGATTTAAAATGTTACACAGATTCTTCAAAATGGATTTTTCCAGCCCATGAAACCTGAGGGAGGTGTGACACTATTTGATTTTTTTATGATCCAAGTTGACAAAGGATTAAAAATAATGAATTGAGTGAAAATTCTTTTTTTTAACAGGTGGTAAGACATTGTACCTACAAGAATTAAAACTGAAGAACAAAACTCTATGTAGAACTGAAGATAAATACATGATTATTCATACTTCACCCCTCAGGCCTCATCATCATTCACAGCCCTGAATCCCAGTACAGTAATTAGCATAACTCCTATCTCTGTCATTCAGTCCCCTCCCTCCCAAGGCTTAATTCTACAATATATTGCCAAACTGTATTGTACATGTGTCTTCACCTGTGCCCCATGTTGCTCCAACTTTATCTTCCCTTCACTTTTACAAAATTACAGTTGTAATTTACTTTACATAAAATCAACTTCATCCTTTGCTTCTAGTTAATAATTCACTATTACAAGTATGTCCTGCAGTTACTGCTGAGCCCAGCCCAACTCTAGATGTATCTCCTGTGCCTTTGATAGCATATGGCCATGAACAGGCATTCAATTCTAGAGGTGGACATTTTTCAGAAATTTCCAGTAGAAAACTTAAAGGGAAAGGGAACTTTCAGCCTGTGGCCACCACCTCTCACCTCTTTCCATGCCTTCCCCAGACTTGGGTGATTCTGGTTTGCAGAGGACATTGGAACCAGCAGTGGCTCCACTCTTCCCAGTCTCTATGGAAAGAGGGGAGGAAGGGAAAGAGTCCCTGCACCTCCCCTACACTGGGGTCTGGGGAATGAACGGGGAGCAGCTGCCTCTGCTCTAGGAGCAGAGTGGAGGGAGCAGTAGGGCAAAGCCCCTATTCCATTACCTGGACCAGGCAGTTTCTGGTACGGGGCAGAGGCAGAGAATATTTTCCACTGCTCCTCTCCCAGCTCAGGCTGACTTGGGAAGGGAGAAGAGCAATGGGGCAAAGCCCCCATCCTGTTTCCTGAACCAGGGAAACCAACCTAGGAGAGGACAGAAGAAGGTAGAAAAGCCCCAAGTCTATTCCCCAAATTGGGGAGGGCAGGGAGCACTGCCATGCTGTTTTATTCCCAGACCAGACCAGGTGGGTAGTGAACAGAGGAGCATGCAAGTGTTCATTTTTACAAGGTGTCAACCTGGAAGATCTGTCTCTTGGACAGGGCATGTATCCCATGGGAAAAACTGAATGGAAAGATTCTAGTTTCTACCAGCAGAGTAGGGTTTCTACTGGTAGAAACAACCCCTGTATGTAGCCTGTGTGTCTCTGGGATACTCTGACAGGTGAAACAGAACTCTGGAGAGAAATCCTGTCTTGCACGAGGAGCAAATATCATGGTCAGTATTTCTGCAACTCACTGTCTGTTACTAACAACATACAAGATAGAGAAGCATAAGCTAGAACATGGCCACTCTTCATACACATATATAACCAAGAGCACAAACAGAATCCAGACACGGTGAAGCAGGGTTCAATTCAATCAGCTGTGTCTGGGATCTTGGCACTGTCCAGTGAGGTCTTGGGATGTGAATGAGTGCTTTCATGTGTTTAAAGAGGTTTCAGGTTTGATGTCTAAGTCAGCCCTCATAGTGCCCTGGCCTACTCTAGTTGGTAAATGGGAATTTCTGTGCAAAAATGGGATTGTTCTGATTGTACAACAAACTGACATGCAACTCTAGTTGGGTCACTTCTCCAGAAGTAACAGTGCTTTAACTGTTCATTGCTCCCTATGAAAGGAAAAGGGTTGGGAAAAGGGATATGGTAAGCTTCCCCCCTCCTCCCCATGAAGAATACAGAAGACAGGGGGTTAGTGATGGTGTGTTTAGCAACATGCTAGAGCGACATAGCATCAGCGGACACAAACTGGAATGCCGCAGCTATGTCGCTGTAGTGACGCGGTCCCTCACTACAGTGCATTGCTATGGCAATGTAGCAGCTAAAAATCACTGTGCACTGCTGGCACAGTGCAGTAATGGCTGATATTGCATCATCATTTAGTACTAAATGACGGTGCAGTAACAACAGCACCATAGGGGTACTGGGTGCATCTACATGTGCAATTAGCATGTAGCAATAAACTCTGGTGCAATTCATGCCAGAGTTTATTTTTCCTGGGTGCAGCGTTTACATGTGCACCCAGTACCACAGCACATTGAACTAGGACAGAGCAGCCCTAGGGTTGGCACGGGAGGTGGTGTGCCAGTCTGCCAACTGGGAGCTACTTCGTCCTGGCTCAGCCTGCTGTGGATGGGCTGGCTGAGGCATGAGGGTGTTACAGTGCGCGGCTAGCTGGCAGGCAGCCCCACTGTAGCACCCTAAC